CCCCCCCCCCGCCCCCCTCCGACGCCCCCGATTGGCCGCTGAATTCCCATGACGCCCACGAGGGGGAGGAGCCTATGGAGGACGACAGCGCGGAGTGGGAGGAGCCTCAGGAGTGAGTGGGCGTGGCCTCAATGTGGTGGGCGTGGGTTGATGCTCCAGCCACGCCCATTTATGGTCATGCCACGCCTCCGCAGGGTGGAAATGGGCGGAGCTTTCCCCGGATTGGCCGAGGCGGCGCTGGGGGCGCTGGGGGAGCTGGCGGAGAACTGCGGGTAACTGGTTTATACTGGTTTATACTGGTTTGTACTGGTTTGGGCTGGTTTGGGGTTACTGGTTTATACTGGGAATGAACTGGGAGGGACTGGGGGTTACTGGGATGAACTGGGAGGGGGTTTGGGGTTACTGGGATGAACTGGGATGGGGTCTTTGCCTTACTGGTTTATACTGGGATGAACTGGGAGGGGATCCAAGGTTACTGGTTTATACTGGTTTGGGGTCCGGGGTTACTGGGGGTTACTGGTTTATACTGGGAGGGAACTGGGAGGGGGTTTGGGGGTTGCTGGTTTGTACTGGTTTGTACTGGTTTGGGGTTTGGGGTTACTGGTTTATACTGGGATGGAATGGGAAGGAACTGGGAAGTCCCTGGGTGGGTGGGTACTGGTTTATACTGGTCCATACTGGTTTATACCGGTTTATACTGGTCCATACTGGTTTATACTGGTCCATGGTGGTCCACACTGGTCCATACTGGTTTATGCTGGTTTATACTGGTCCATACTGGTTTATACTGGTTTATACTGGTCCCCAGCTCCGCCCTCCTGCCCTACCTGGACTCCTCCCTCTCCGCCATCTTGGATCTGACCCAGGTGAGCCCCTCCCAGTTCATCCCAGTACAAACCAGTTCATCCCAGTACAAACCAGTTCATCCCAGTACAAACCAGTAACTCCCAGTCCCTCCCAGTTCCCGCTGTGCCAGCTCAGAGCCGCCGCCTACGAGGCCCTGGGGAGCGTCTGCTGCTGCGGGAGGGAGCGCCAGACTGGTTTGTACTGGTTTATACTGGTTTGGGCTGGTTTGTGCTGGTTTGGACTGGTTTGTACTGGTTTGTGCTGGGAGGGACCAGGAGGGGCTGGGAGGGGACTGGTTTGGACTGGTTTATACTGGTTTGTACTGGTTTGGGCTGGTTTGGACTGGTTTGGACTGGGTTATACTGGGAGGGACTGGGAGGGGGTTTAGGGTTTACTGGTTTGGACTGGGAGGGAACTGGGTTATACTGGGATGAACTGGGAGGGATTGAAAGGGGTCCGTACTGGTCCATACTGGTTTATACTGGTCCGTACTGGTCCATACTGGTCCGTACTGGTCCATACCGGTCCATACTGGTTTATACTGGTCCGGACTGGTCCATACCGGTCCATACTGGTCCATACTGGTCCATACTGGTCCGTACTGGTCCCTACCGGTCCGTACTGGTCCGTACCGGTCCGTACTGGTCCATACTGGTTTGTACTGGTTTCCCTTCCAGCCCCCTCCCCCGTCCACCAGGGGGCGCTCCAGGCCCTCCTGAAGGGGCTCCGGACGGACCCGGAAGTGGGCGGGGCCTTGGGGGCGGTGGGCGGGGTCGGGCGGATCCTGCAGCCCCCAGGCCACGCCCACAAGGAGTGGCTGGAGCCCATTGGACGAGCCCTGTGTGACGTCATCGCCGGGGAGGTGAGGGGGCGGAGCGGTAACGTGAAGGGGAGGAGCTTAATGACATTAAAGAGGTGGGAGGGGCCTAAAATCGGGTGGGTGGGGCTTAATGAGGCATTGAGGGGATTGTGGGAGTGGCTTAAGACCAGTGGGTGGGGCTTAAAGGGTTGTGGGAGTGGCTAAAGTCAGGTTTAAATGAGGTGGGTGTGGCCTAAGGGTTTGACCAATGGGGTGCGGCCTGTGTGGGGCGTGGGTGTGGTTTGGGGGTGGGCGTGGCTCAACAAGCTCCTCCCCCTTCCAGATCGCCTGTCTGAGATCGCGGGGGGACGGCGACGAGGACGAGGTGGGGGAGGGGCTCCCAGTTCAAACCAGTTCAGCCCGGTTCGATCCCAGTCCCCCCCAGTGCGATCCCAGTTCGATCCCAGTTCGATCCCAGTTCGGTCCCAGTTCGATCCCAGTCCCTCCCAGTTTGATCCCAGTTCATCCCAGTCCATCCCACTTACATCCCAATTTGGGGAAGATTTGGGAATTTTTTGGGAAAATTTGGGATTCTTGGGGGGAATTCGGGGAAAAATTTGGAATTTTGGGGGAATTTGGGGGAAAAATGCACATTTGGGGGGAACTGAAAACTTTTCTGGGAATTTCGGGGAAAATTTGGGATTCTTGGGGAATTTTAAGATATTTTGGGGAGTTTTGGGGGAAGTTTGGGGGGAAAATGAGGAATTTTGGGAGAAAATTTGGGATTTTGGGGGGAATTTGGGGAATTTTTTGGCATTTTGGGAAAATTTGGGGTGAAAATGGGAAAATTTTGGAATTGTGGGGGAAAATTTGGGATTTTGGGGGGAATTTGGGGGAATTTTGGGGGAATTTTTCTCATTTTTCTCATTTTTTTGTCACTTCCGGGTCCCCTCCCCCTTTGGCCCCGCCCCCTCAGATCTCAGCCAATCGCTGCTCGCGCTGCTCCGCCAGGTGGGCGGGGCCGACCCTCAGCGCTTCCGGGAGGGCGTGGCCTCCCTGGACCCCGCCCACGCCGCCATCTTGTGCCGGATGTTGGACGACGTCATCAGCAGCCAATAAAAATGGAGGAGGATGGAAAAGGGGCGTGGCTTGTTCTGTTGGAGGCGGGGCTTAAAAATTCGGGAATTGGCCCAAAATTCCTAAAAATTTCTTCAAATTTCCATAAATTCTGTCCAAAATTCCTGAAATTTGCCCAAAATTCGCCAAAAAAACCCAAAAAAAATCTGTTGAAAATTTAAATAAAGTCACCCAAAAATTTGCATAAAATTTGCATTTAATATTTGAAATAATCCTCAAAAAAATTAAGAAAAATTTCCCCCAAATTCTTGCCAAATTTAGCACAAAATTTGCCCCAAAATTCTTGTGAAAATTTAAATGAAACAAGTCCTGATTTGCATAAAATTGCATAAAATTTGCATAAAATTAAGAAAAATTCTCTCTAAATTGTCCTAAAAATTTTGTCCAATATTTCCC